TGACATGGCCTAAATTAGTCTTTCATATTTTCATCATGGTTTTGGGCCTGGCTAACCTGATTGCTCAGTTTTTTATGTGAAAACTGTTTTCTCAAGATTTCTTATGGTATTTTGGCAACAGTTCTGCATAAACGAACTTGTAAATGCCGTTGTTGCTGTAATTCTGTTTCTAAGATAATTTGAAAACAAGGGAAAGCGCTGTTCATAAGTATTTTTGCATTAGAGTTGGAAAGGGGATTATACTAACCTGATTGCTCAGTTTTTTATGTGAAAACTGTTTTCTCAAGATTTCTTATGGTATTTTGGCAACAGTTCTGCATAAACGAACTTGTAAATGCCGTTGTTGCTGTAATTCTGTTTCTAAGATAATTTGAAAACAAGGGAAAGCGCTGTTCATAAGTATTTTTGCATTAGAGTTGGAAAGGGGATTATAAGGATGGTCTGAGTCTTAACTCTTCTTGTTAACCCCTCATTCTCCATTTTCTAAGTAGACATGTAGGAGAAATTATACTGGATTTTGCTTTTGATAGATACAAGGTAGGTAGATGTATTTTGCCTACAGTAAGCATTCTCAGGGTGTCGCAGGCAGTGTGTTGTTTTATATTTCAGTGTACTCACTTTGATTTTCTTACTTGCTAGACCATTTCTACAATTTACCTCAAACCTCTACTGTTTGGAGCAGTAAACCAAATACTTCTTTGTACAAAGAGTCCATGCATTATTGTTAATGGGATAAATTCTTAATTTATTGTTTATCTGTTCGAAGAACAAAAAAATTTAAATAGTATAGGTCTGGACTTCATGATCAAAAGATGTATGTAATGGTAATGATATGGTAATATGTGTCTATCAGTTCTTAGACCCAGTAGAGGCAAGGGGATCAGGAGTTCCTGATCATGAGGGTCATCCTCAGCTTCATGGTGAGTTTGAAGACATCCTGGGCTATATAAAGCCCTGTCTCAAGAAACCAAAAGACAAAAGAGGATGTATATAAGATAAAGTAGAGAGTTTGTTGCTGTCTGACTCTTTTATTTCTAAACCAGTTCCAGTGTCTTTGATTGAGATTACAATTCCATGAGCCAGCTTTTGCATATGAACAAGAATGATTGTCCTCATAGACCCAGGGGACTCTTGCTTTTTGTATCCTTGAGAACTGCATGGGCTGTCATGACAAGCCCAATGGAGAAAGCATGAGCAGAGAGGGGCTTATGAGGTGCTCCAGGAGAGAAAGGAATACAGAACAGACCCAGAAGGGTGAAGCTCTCTACAGTGTATTCTGAATCATCCTGCTTAAGGTCTGACCTCCAGAAGGAAACACTTGCTCTGATAACTGGCAGGGTAGAGTTTACTTCAAAAGGAAAATTCATTGAGAAATGGATTAGGAAATGTGGATTCTTGGAGTTAATACTCTTCCCAATTTTTCTTTTCTTCTGGTCTTTTTGAGATAAGGTCTTTCTATAGCCCCATCTGGCCTGGAACTTGCTTTGTAGACCAGTTTGGCCTTGATCTCACAGGGATCTGCCTGCCTCCACCTCCCGAGTGCTGGGACTAAATGAGTGTGCCACCACGCCTCAGTCTCTTCCCAATTTTTCTTCCAAATTCAAAGCTAAACCAGGATCCAGATCTTTGTCTTTCGTGTAGCACAATGCTTGTGTTCCACCCAGCACTACCACCTTTTAGATTTCTCTAATTTTAGGCTAATTTTTTTTTAATGTATCATGTTTATACAGGTTCCATTTCCTAGAAGTGTGTAGATTTTGCAAAATGTCCTTTTGAGAAAAATGGGTGAAATGGTTTTTATAAATCTAGTAAGGAGCCCCAAATCAACTTTAATTTCTTCCAGCAAAGCTTTCCATCCTATTTTTAGACACACAGGTCTGTATTAATGAGGAGCTGCTAACACTTCTTAAAGTCTTATGAGAATTCTTAAGTGCACATACAAAGGATAAGATCAACTCCTACACACCTGTTCCTAGTCTAGTAATTGTAAGATTTAGCTGCATTTGTTTCACCTGTTCTTTCTTTTCCTTTTCTACTGAAATATGTTAAAGTCAATCTCAGATGTTATGTCATTTAATTTCTACCAACCTTAATGCAGCTAATAGTCCAAATTTTGAACCTAGTTACAGTTATTATGGAACTAGTCTCAAAAGTTTTTGCTAGCAGGAACTGCTGGTAGAAGTTGGGTTTAGTGGAAAATTCTGCATTAGCTGTCTTGCCCAGGTGCTAATCTTAGGAGTATCATGCAACAGGAAGTGCCTCTAGGCCTCCGAGCCTCTGGAACTTCCTAACTTCAGAGTTCTACTCTGTTAAGAGACAGGAGCCAAACTGGATTTTGTTGTGGTGGTTTTGGGGGTTTTTTGTTTTCGTTTTTTTTTTTGTTGTTTTTTTTTTTTTTTTTTTTTTTTTTTTTTTTTTTTTTGTGAGACAGGGTCTCCCAGTAGCCCCAGCTGGCCTGGAACTCTCTGTGTAGACCAAACTAGCCTTAATCTCAGAAAGATCTGCCTGTCTCTGCCTCCTGAGTGCTGGGATTAAAGTTGTGTACCACCACCTGGTAAGGCTGGGTATTTTAAGAGATTTTCTAGACTCAATGTCTGTTTATTCTTAACTGTTTCTTTTGTCTTTAAGAACTTTAGAAACAGAATTTTCATTGCTTTTTTTTTCCAAAAAGGTCTTGAATGCTTTAGCATATGCAAAGATGATTTGATGTGGTTTTGCCTATATAGTGTATAAAAGGAATATGATAAGGAATTTGTTCAGAAAATATATCTGCTTGATTAGGAAATGTAAATTGTTGGAGTTAACACTCTTCTCAAGCTTTCTTCCAAATTCAGTGCTAAATCAGAATCCAGATCTTTGTCTTTCATATAACACAGCCTCTTGTGTTCCACCTAGCACCACCATTTAGATTTTGCTAATTTTAGGCTAAGTTTTTTAAAATGTACCATGTTGATATAGATAGGTTCCACTTCCCAGAAGTGTGTAAATAATATTTTTCTGAACAAAAAGTAATGAATTTATGCTTTTGTTTTCTTACAGAGACTTGATAATTCAAACCTCCTAATGTCTGTGTTAGACATTCCAAATGGCTTTGTCCTCTGTTTCTTTTCATGAGACTCCTTTGGCCTGGTACTTGGCTTAGTCAGAGAACCCTGTATGCGAGTGTGTGTTCTGGCTCACCGTGAGAATGATGCTATATGAACTCACATTGCAGTTAGTCTCAGCCTTTCCTTCTCTAGTGTCATCTCTTTGAAGTTTCTAATTAAGTGGCTTTCATTTTTTTGTTCTGACATGGTTAGCTTTTGAATTTACCTTATTTAGCACAGAATTGAGGACCCTGTAAAACTTAAAATGAGTGTTTTTAGAGAGGTCTTCCTTAGAAATTCTATGAATTTGGGGTATGCTAGTAATAAACCAGAAAGGAAAAGAACCTATATATGGGTCTATACTGTGGATGACATGCAAAGTCAGCACCATCAGCACACCTGCAGGAATGTGTTGGAATAAGGAATAAGTGTATTCAACAGAAGGGCTGTATTAAAGGTAATACTTAATTTACATTAAATATACTTTACAAATACTATGCAGCTGTTAACTATAGAAGTACAGTTGTTTTCTGTTTGTACTTGGGAATTTACCAAGAAAATGTTTCATTTGTGTTTTTAATTTTCCATTCCCATAATTATTTTGTTCAAATAATTGAATAGACTACAATGTCCATTTCCTTAGAGGAGCTAAAGATGTGTAAGACATCATACATACCCTAAAGGAACTTTTAATCTAGTAAATAAATGATGTTCAACAATGAACAAGGCAGTTTATGCTGAGGATGTGTAGAAAAAGAAGGTAACATTCAAGGAGGGCTAATAAAGGAAGCTGAATTGTTCAAAGGCCAAGGACTCACTTTTACTCAGCTTCTGTGACTCTTGGACAGAAAGTAAAATTGATTAGTAGAGCATGTAATTAGTAATTCATTGGGTGCTACAAACAGAGATTTCATAAACTTTCCAAAAAGTTGAGTTCTGTAAATATAAGTATTAAAACATCAAATATTTACATTCATTGATAATATAATAGAAAATACTAGTGCTACGTATTTTATTTACATAGAACTGACCTGTTGCTTTTTATAATTTGGTAGTGATTTTGTTTTTGTTTTTAACTCAATTTTATTCCAATTCGAACGTCCAAAACCAAATAGCTGACACTTTACAATAGTGTATTACGTTAGTCTGTGATCCAACATGAAATGCATGCCTGACATCTCACAAACTGACCTGGCTGGCCCCACTTACAGTCCACTGCCAACCTCACTTCAAGTTATGTAAACATAGTGCAAAACAGCACTGATGGGAATCTCAGAACCTAAACAGTATTCTCTGAAATGTAATTTGTCTTTTCATAGACAAGAAGAAATTAAATCAGAATTATTTTGAGGAAAAACATATCTGGGACTTTGTTTAATGGAATTTGGCTAGGAAATACTATTGCCTCCTAGCACTGGCCCCAGGCAGAAGGAAGCTGGGTTCCATTCTTTGCCTGGTTGAATTTCTCAAGTGACTGTGCTGTGTCTCCCGTCAGTCTATAAGGAGCCTTCCCTAGTATTCTCTTCCTCCTCCTCCCCGTTTTTTTTTGGGGGGGGGGTCTTTTTGAGACAGGGTCTTCCTGTAGCCCCAGATGGCCTGGAACTTGCAATGTAGACCATGCTGGTCTCAAACTCACAGAGATCTACCTGCGTCTGCCTCTCAAGTGCTGGGACTAGTGCTGCTCTTCTAGAAAGACATGTTCCATTAAGTTAAAGAGACAGCAAACCATTGTGCTCTCTTTCTCTAAGAACATTTTAAATGAATGTGACAGTTTAGGTAAGTATAGCTCTGTTTCTGGCAAAAAAAAAAAGCTCTGAAAAAGTAATTTTCTAGAACCCTTTAAACTAATAAATAACTCTAATTTTCTGGCTTCCTTAAGTAAAATTACCTTTTTTTCCACCCAGTATCATTTTTTTCTTGATTTCCCAACTCTTCAGAAAAGGTAAAATAAGACTGATTTTAAAAGTTGAAAACACCTCTGTGTTCTTTCTTTTATTTCAGACCATGCAGCACAGTCCTGGGATAGGAATGAGGAGATGTTCACTCTGACATTTCCTCCTC